AACGGGGACGCACCAGGGCCAAGCGCGGCCGCACCCAAGTCAAAATCAGCACCCCCATCAATGCTATCCAAAACACCAGCCACATTCGCAGCGTCACTCTCTGGGATAAATACGGGGAAAAATCTTGATATGGGGTGTCATCATAACCATCCATGAGCTGCTTGTCGGTGAGCACACTCGTATCTCCTAGATCCATACCAGGAAAAGTACCCACACACACAAATTCGGAAGCCGAAGAAGGTACTACGTCGGCAGAGCCGGCGGGCGGGACGCTCTCACTCGCAGGTACTACACTGGTTGGACCAGTGGGCGGGACGCTCTCACTCNCTTGATATGGGGTGTCATCATAACCATCCATGAGCTGCTTGTCGGTGAGCACACTCGTATCTCCTAGATCCATACCAGGAAAAGTACCCACACATACAAACTCGGAAGCCGAAGAAGGTACTACGTCGGCAGAGCCGGCGGGCGGGACGCTCTCACTCGCAGGTACTACACTGGTGGGACCCGTGGGCGGGACGCTCTCACTCGAAGATACTCCGGTATCAGAGCCTGCGGGAGGAACACGCAACACGGACACCAATGATTCCGCGGAGCCCCCTTTTTGGGAAGGGGAACGCGTGGAGCCAACGGCGGGGGCGGAATCGGGGGCAGTCACGAATGCAGGCAAAGCAGCAGAGTCTACTATAGTCGCAGATGGGTCGTATGGTAACCGCATGGCATATGCTGCAGACGCTTTTTCCTCCCTAGCAAAGAGCAGTCCATTTTGAAGGGTTGCACCACGCTCGTCGTGCAGGATTTGTTGCTTTCGAGAAACAGCATGCTGCGTGGAAAACAAGTTGAAGCTCAGGCTCTCTACTATAGACACGTCAGTGAGCTTTACACACAGGTGGAACCCCGGCATCCCTTGCGGCCTGATGCCCAAATACATGCATCGCTTCGGGACCCTGCCGACTCACACCAACACTGCTGCTGCTATTTGGCTGTCCAGCAATGCTGTGTGGTTGCGACGGGAAGGAACCCCCGTGTGATTAACCTCACACACACCTGGCCCCGCTTGTGCACGCGGGGCCCTGGGATCCAGCGCAAACTCGTCGTCGCTCTGTTGTTGTTGTTGTTTTGTTGTTTTTCTTCACATTAAACTCGTGTCAGTTGCTAATCCCGAAATCAAGCAAAGACTTGGTCCGTGGTCACAAAAATGCTAGAGCCATCAGAAGATCTAAAGAACACACAAACAACATATTGGTGAGATCGAGAGCGAAGCATGAAATTGAGAGCGAGAGCCAAAAAATTGAAAATCCGGGTCCAGACGCCTCTTGCCATTTCTTGGGAAGTAGGGGGCGGGCTGTTCCAAGAAGCGGCGCAAATTGAGGTCTCATCAGCAGTGCCACGAGCATAACCGTGTCATCGTCATCGGATGCTGCAGCTAGGAGCTAGACAAGTTGCTAGATTTCCCCAGATTGGCTATTCCTGCCTCAAACTGTTGCAGGGCGGTTTGACCTCGGGCGGTGGGCTCTGCTGTAGCTTCTGCTCGCCGCTGTAGCTCCACATCGAGAGACCCCCACAGAATGACCAGGGTATCTGCTTGTAGCTACGGGCTGGCCCTATTAGATATATTGGGGGTACTCGTAGCATAGTATGACGGTTGAGATGTTCGGTACGTACGTACGAAAGTAACGGTGATGAGATGCGGAGGGATAGGAACTTTCTACATATATTCCTTGGTTGCGAGAGGTATTTGGTGGAGATTCAGAGAGATTCGTTGAGTGACAAAGAGTGAAGGCGTGCCCAGATACCGTGAAGGTTTGACAAGCACTGGCACGCCCCCGATGAATACAATACTTTTACAATCCTTTTCGATACGTTTTCCACACGTTTCTACCCATCCACGCTCCGCCATGAGCCACCCGCTTTGAGCTCCAAGCACAAAGAACCGAGCCACCCGAATTATCGATCACG